GAGCGCGCCGCGCACGTCGCCGCCGAGGAGCCCGCGCGCCCGGGCGTGCAGCTCACGTGCGACGTGAAGCCAGGTGCGTGGGCGCGCAGGGGGCTGCGGCGAGGGGCGCCCCGGGGGTGCCCGTGCCGCGGGGGGGCCGTGCGGACCGCTGGGGAGAGCCGCGTACAGCTCCGGTGCTGCGCGGCTTGGAGCGGCTCCCGCCGCCGCCTCCCTACGCTCCTGTGGGGCCGGCTGGAGAGGGAGCGTGGCGAGACAGAGCTGCTTGTAACTGCTGCCTATGAACAAGTGTCCGACTCAAGTTGTGCYGGGGCAGGTTCAGGTGAGATATTAGATACAAATTCGTAGGTGGAAAGAGAGGTGAAGCGGTGGAACGGGTTGCTCAGGGAAGTGGTGGGGTTGCTGTCCCTGGCAGTGGTCAGGAAATGTGTAGATGAGGCACTCAGGGACGTGGTCTAGTAGGCATGGTGGGGATGGGTACACCATTGGACTTGATGATCTTGAAAGTCTTTTCCAACTGTAGTGATTCTGTGACTCTATGACTTCTGATTTTCTCTCTCTTCATTATATGATATTTCATTATATGATATATCTAATTTATCACTGCATCATGCTAGACATCAGTGGGAGGGACTCACTGCACCCAAAATGAGTGGATGGTGCCTTCAGTGGGAAACTTGCAGCTGCTTCTGACAAATTGTCTGTAATAACARGAAAAAATAAAATAAATTGCCCATAATTTAGAGCACTCTTCYGCTCTTGTCAACTCACTAGCACCACAGAAGGTCAACTACAGCCATGGTTATAATCACAGGTTGGCAGAAAATATTGGGATATTGCCTGGGATATGTGGCTTTTACCTCACAAGAAGTCTCAGTGGGTCTTTAATGACTACGGAACAGTTAGGATTCTGGTTTATCTGAAGACATAAAAAATGACAAAGAGCGATTTATTCTATCACATGTTGATGGTCAAAGYTAATGGAAAGCATGAAGAAGACCCTTTAAACATTGTCACATCTTTGTGCCTATTACAAGAAGCTGAAGCTGTTTCAGGCATCAGGAGCTTAGGTCTCATTTTAAACCTCATTTTAAACATCTACCTAGTCAAGTGACCTCTTTTTCATAACAAACTCCATCACTCTGTGGTGATTCCAGTCCCCAGCTGACAACTCATCTCCCCTCTTCCTGTGCGTAGCACAGTGCACCCCGTGTACTTTCATCTTGCTTGATGCCTTACAGTGTCTATATGCTCCATGACCACCAATACACAGCAAATGAAGAGGAGTCAGTAGACTCTAGCTCCATTTWTTTTTTTACTTCTGAGCACACTTCTTTGTGCCTGCTTCCTAATTGCAACTTCTCTCTCTTGCAAAAGGACCTAGGATATTTCCATTTTCTTTTTGCCTGACAAGATCCACCTCCATGAAACGTGAGCCCTAATAAATAATAGGGCACTCTGTGGACAGAAAAGACTAGACTTATCACTTCTTGCATGGTGCTGAAAACAGAAGAGCAGTATCTGCATGAAGATCCTTCAAAGAACATCAAGACTAGCATGATCTTTCTGTAAATATCCTCTTATTCYGTGGCTGTCATTAGAGGACCTGGATCAGGCTGTGCTGCCCAGTCTCCAATACCATCATCACTTAGAGCTAACATGGTGAGTTACACGCACCCGTGATCTCCTTGGCCACAAGGTTAGAATTTCTCTTTACATGGGATAGACAAAAACGAATAAGGGAGGGTAAAGTAGAGGGTTTGGAGAGTAAAGTGACTGGGGTTTTGAAGGCTAAACGTAGAAATCACTGTACTTTTAACTTTTTTCTTTACAGGCATGGTGCCAGGTGAGATTTTGGAGGAACTGATGTATCATTAGAAGTTTTCCTCATGCAGCAGAAATGGACTACACCTTATGGCTAGTGGCAGTCATGGATTTTTGTGTTTACCTCCTTCATATACCTCACTGGTTGCAACCATACACACCTGTGACAGGGAAGCATCTTATGTCTCAGGGGAAGCAAGGGACGGTACTGCCTGCTGGCCTGCATAAGATGCTGGAAGGCTCTGTTAGCATGGAGGCACGTGATGAGGAAACCTGTGCTAACACAGGAACTTCCATGGGGAAGAGAGAGTTTTCAATGAGGGCACCTGCAGTCAGAGTACAGGCAAGCACTGCCTACAGCCTCTAACGCTCTGACACTCGCTGCATTCACTAGAGACCTTCTATYGCTCCTTCTCAAACACAGATCATCTGCCCGTGAGCAGAGATTATTGGTGTTCTTCAATCTGAACTCACAGCTGGAGCCTTCATCTTGGAAACGGGCATGGTTCCACATAACAAGACCAGATGCWAGAACAAATTGAGCAAAAACCTAATAATCAAGCATCTAAATAGGGGCAATGCATTAACCATGGTTTGAGAAGAACTGCTAGTCAAACAGCATCCAGTGAGCACCATAGGGGAAATCCAGGTAAGGAGCATGAAGAACAAACATAAGTTGGTTCTAGTTTCCTAAAGAGCCTGATGGGGAGCAGAGAGTCCTTAGGAGAACTTTACCCAGCCTGTATGGTGGAGGTGGCAGCTTTCCTGCCATGAAGTAGTTGGGGTACATCTCACTATGTGGGAGTGGCAGGACTCTGCCTTACAGGCACATACACATGTGCATGTAAATCTGTGGAGAAAGATGAGATGCAAGGGACACTGGCCATGGTGATCTGGTGCGTAAGACCAGTAAGTCTCTCAGAAAGAAACCTAGGGCCCTTGCCAGCACAAGAGTGAGGATGCTGCAAACAGCACTGGCTGGAGCCCCTGGGGGAAGCTGGAGTAGGTAAAGAGGTGCCTCCAGTCCTTGAAGTGGCTGCCATGGCCCCAGGCCTGTTTACAGTGTCTTGTGAGGATGTGCTTAGTGCATCACTTCAGTAAGTAGGAAGCAGAAACCGCAGTATTTACAGTGCTTGGCATGCCTGCAGGTTGAGGTCTGTACGTTTATGGATAGTCAAGGTGTTCAGGTGTCCTCCAGCCAGGCAGTCATACGTTTAGGTGAGGCTGTGGGAACTTGTCACACACCAGTGAAAAGCACAGACTTAAGTCATATCATCTGCTACCTCTACAGCCTGTATTCCTAAATCTTCCTAAATTAGTCATCCAAGAAGATGAGATTTCTCTCGCAGCCATAGGCAGACAGATTTTGTAAGGGATTTTTATTGTGTTTAGATCAAGGGTGAACATGTAGTTAGTTTTTGGTAAAAGAAGGAAACAGAGGCAGTTTGGCTCTTCAGTTTTACCTCTAAAATACTATAGCTTAAAACTGCTTAACCATCTATTCAGGAAGAAACAGGTCAGTGACCCTTTMTGTCTTTCTCTTGTTTCTAGGGAAACATTCCTGCCCCGTTACCCTTTCAGCACATCACACTGAGGGGCTGTGTGGGAAGCACCTTTGCCACTGCAGACAGCAGGGGAGCTGGAATGCRCTGGCCAGGTGACCCTGCGGCCACTTTTCTGCCTGTATTGAGCCACCATGTGCAGGCAGGRACATGGTGGCCCACCCCAACCTGTGGCTGCCAGCTCTGTGACCCAGCTCTGAGTCTAGCAGCTCTTCAGTCATTGGGAGAAGTTTCCTTTCCAGTTTACATGGCAGAGAAGGCTGTGTTTGATGAGCCAGTTAAACAGTATCCTCTACCTGTTGCCCCAGGAAAGGCATTCATGTGAAGGACAGTTTCCTCAAATGCTTGCTGAAGACCATGCCTGACAGCTCTCCAGAATACAGGCCAATACCAGGGACTGTAGATCCCAGCACTCAGTGCATGTTTGCTGGCTGATCTGCATGAGGCAAGTGGTCAACCCTCCACCTCTGTCTTCTGGAACTRACACAGCCCTGCTGGGAGGATTACACCAACAAATTCATCATTGCTGCAGCAAGCATCACTGTCACCACTACTGCGATCTGGAAAGCTGCTGCCAACTGCAGCTGAACCACTACATCTGCTTGGCCAGCTCCCATGGCCAGCGGAGGCTGCTGGAGTGCAGACTTGTGCTCCCTTTTCAAACCAGATGAGCCCATTCCTGTACAAGGCTGGCAGAGCTATTTCTCGGCAGCCCAGTGAGTACATCCTGCTTCAGATAAATGATTGGCATCCCAAAAGAAGAAATGTACTGGACCAGCTCTTGTTTTCCTATTGTTTTGTATTCCACTATGTTTCTTCTCTCTCTTTCTTAATTGGAATTAAATGCCTCATTTTTTTTCCACCAGACTTAGCATTCTGTTGTTTTTCTTTTGGACAGACTTCTCTACAACTGCAAACATCCACACTTGGGCAAAGTAATGTGCAGCTCCTGTATCTCATAGCTGCCAAGGCTAATGAACAAGGTTGTAGATTCTCCTGGTGTCACTCGTTGTGTGCTGAAAACATGTTAATGCAGAGCAAGAGGRCGAAGCTCTCTTGAGAAAGCTTATAGTCTGGGTGTATGAGGTCTACCAAGAAACAATTACATAACTCCAGATAACACAATGTCAAAGCCTCAACATGCTAGTTATCCCAACTATTCCTTTCAGGTTTATATGCTGTATTTGCACAGCAATTGTCTTAATAACTTTTATTTCTTYACAATTTTTATTTCTACTTTGAAAGCATGACTCTTACTGATACATGGCATGGTCTATTTGCACTGGATGAAACACTTGTCWCACAACTTTTCTGTCTGTAAATTCTCAGTCATAAGCTGGGCATCTGGGAGCACAGATTTTGTACAAAGAATTTGTTAATGTCTTTCCAGCCTCAAAAACACGAGCCCTATATAAGTTAATATAAAATACTTGATAAGCAGTCACAGTATGCATGTGACTCTTGCCCYGTATCTCTTGAATCTCTGGACGGATAACAGGAAAAATTGACAAAACAGAGATATTAAAAGTAAATAAGGTTGCATAAACTTTAGAAGAGATGATTAAAGACAAGGAGGAGTGAGATGTAAGTGCTTAAAAGTTTGTTTCTGGCTATTTTTGTTTGTTTGTTTCTAGCTTTATTTGAAAGCTGTTACTTTCAAAAAGTAGCTTGTTTGTTGCTCTCTACTGTTACGGAGAAAGGTAGTGAAGGCAGTACTAGTTATGTAGCCAGTGAGCTGAAAGACACGGAGAATCAGAGTTTGTTGGCACTGTTCACAGAAATGTTTRCTCCTGTTAGACTGGAAGTATGATTATGGGATATTTCAAAATTCTGGATATCCAGTGTGGATGGTGAGTATGGCCTTTCCTGAACCMTCGTCTTTGATTTCTCAAATACAGCACCCTGCATACTACCTAAATACACAAATGAATACTTAAATAATGAGAAAATCAATGTGCGCCTTATGTCATGAATAAAAGCAATTGAAGGTCAGAACATTTTAGGAATCATAAAAAGGAACTATCTTTGCTCTTTTTTCATTGTCTTTTTGGTGATGTTCAGCAACTACGTCAAGAAAATTCAACACTGCGTAAAAGCAGAAGAGGAACTGGGCTCTGGATTCCTTCTCCAGCAGTGCATGCTGCAGAAAGTGTGGGGCGATATTTCACTAGATCTTTTTTTCCATCTCTGACAAATTGTGAGTCAAAAACTTCCTTAGTCAGAYGCAATGTTAGAGTCAGACTCTGCATAATTTTTAATCTAACTTAGATTTTTCTTTTATATTTTGGGGCAGCCAGTTTTTGGACCTGTCTATACTTTCAACCTGTATTGAAATTGCTGCATCCATTTAATATCCCCTAATTCTTTAACTGAGAGAGACATTGAAAAGTCTTTCAAAATTCCCTTGCTTTAGGACACCAAATGTCACTATAGCATAATTGTGCACAGTTGTCTTTCTCCAGCCTGGAAATCCTGCTTACTTTCTCATACTGAAGCAGTGCTGTATGTTGGATAATAATTGCTGTCCTTCTCTGAATCTTTTCAGGTTCTTCTATGACTTTTTTTTTGAGATAGGGAACCAGGACCATATACTGTATTAAAGATGTTTTGTTGATTATTTTAGTGGCATAATGATACTTTCTGTTCTGTTATATAGGACATGGAACTTCTAGAAAGGGTCCAGCGTAGAGCGACAAAGTTGATTAATGAACTGGTGCATCTCTCGTAGGAGGAAAGACTAAGCAATCTGGGTCTGTTGAGCCTGGAGGAGTGAAGATTGAGAGGGGTTCTGATCAATATGTATAAGTATCGGAGGGGAGAATGTGGTGGCCAGTGACAGGACAAGGGGTAACGGGTACAAATTGAAACCCAGGAAGTTCCATCTCCACGTGAGAAAGATCCTCTTTCCCATGAGGGTGACAGAGCCCTGGAACAGGCTGCCCAGGGAAGCTGTGGAGTCTCCTTCTCTGGAGATCTTCCAAACCCGCCTGGCTGCCGCCCTGTGCCCCGTGCTCTGGGTGTCCCTGCTGGAGCAGGGGGTTGGGCTAGATGATCTCTAGAGGTCCCTTCCAACCTCAACCATTCTGTAATTCTGTGRTATTCCTTTGAAAATTAGTCCTAGGTTTTACTTTGACTTTTCTGACCATTTCTTGCATACTGAGCTGATGACAACATATCTCTGCAGTCCAAGATCTATACCTAGCTATATTATTGCTAGATCTTGTTCCTGAGTGGTAATAATTAGGCAAACACAACATTTTGTATAAAAACTTAGAATGGTTTTCTTTTTCCATTGAGTGCATCATTTCGCATTTTTTCTCAGTATTAGGTTTATTTTACCATTTTATTGCTCACTCCGTATCGTAGACATTACTTGCAGCTGACCCTTATTTTCACTGTCTTAGTATTCTCAGCAAGTTTTATCACCTCACTTTATCGCCTCTACAATGGAAATTAACCATTTACCCTCTGCTGTTTTAAAACTTGTGCATCATGATAATTAATCTATTCTTGACYCCCAGTGATGATTAAATTTTACCTTGAAGCATGGATCTTGATTGTGACGTTTTTAGTGTTCACAACTGTCCATCTTGCTCATGAAATGGAACTGCTGGCATTCCCATGAAGCAGCTGGAAAGAACAATTGAGGAACTGGTCTTGTTATTATAACTTGAATATAATGAGACTTCTCATTAATATATTAATTTTAATGCATTTGCAGAGGTAATCAAGCTAGAAAATATTTTTTTTTCTTGGGCAATAATCTATCATTTATATTTCAGGAGAAAATGAAGTTCCATCTGAAGATGCCCTAATACTACAACTGCAGCTTGCAAAAGGGCACGAGAAATTTACTGAAATGCTAAAAAGTCAGCAGCAGACCATTGTGGATTTGCAGCAGAAACTCACCGACCAGCAGCACGTATTGGTTAACCAGCAACGGGAAATTCTTGAACAGCAAAGAAAAATGTATGAGCAAATGGATTTAATCAAGGTTCAGTATGGCATGCTTTTTGACACAGTGAAACAAATGTCATTTCAGAGTTTGCAAGAAGATATTCAAAATTATTTTGAAAGTCATCTTCAAGGACTTCAGAAACAAGTCAGAAATCAGCTCCAGAAGTCATACTCTGTCCATAAAGTAGAAGTGGATGCAAAAGTGATTAATGTTGGGGAGTCTTTGCTGGACTGTGGTCTTTGTGAAAGTGATGAATTCTGCAATTTCCAAAAGACGCCTTCACAGTGTGAAAAATGCACCTTGTGCCCCGCTGGCTTTTTCCAAATGGCTGAGTGTTCTGCAAATTCTGATCGGATTTGTCAGGTGAAGTATTAATTCTGTATCTTGCAGTTACTGTTTAGGAAGTATTGTGCCATTGTGCCATCTAGACATACCAGGATGGATTATGGAAATATCTGCTCAGAGAAGAGTGGGGAGATTTGGTATTAAGAATGTCTTACTGTTTGGGACTGTGATGCTTCATGGTTTTCCTGAAGTTTTCCTGGAGTTTTCTCTTTACTATTTTTAACTCCAAGAGAGGCACAAGTTTGTGCCTGCTGGGTGTAAAGCTTTCATGAATCCAATGGCTGGCAGCACATAGATCATATTCATCACTGTAGGGAAAGGCATCCTAAAACATACACTTATAACATATACACTTACAGAAACATAACATACACTTATGCGTGATAAATTTATTTAATCTTAGTTTTGCACTAACTACTACACATATTTGAAGGGTGAAGGAAATCTCAAGTAAAACTTAAGACCACACATTTATTTATAAGATCAGAAACAAAATTTGGTAGTTTTAGATTTATAATGTAGTTTCATCTTAAGTGTAACATATAAACGTATGAAATGTAGCATAGTGATATTTTTATTATAAAAAATACTTTATTATAAAATGCAAAATAACTTGCAAACACAGTAAGATGCTTCTTTAGTTACTCTCTTTCGAAGTCCTGAGATGTATGCAGATCTTGATACTTATAGTAATTTCTGATTTGTCAAGTGCTACCCTCAATTCTTAGGTTAATGTGAGCCTGAGCACCTGGTGACCTGAGCCCGCATTAGTCAGGAGAGAATCTAAAAGACTCTTTCTGTCCCCTTCTCTCTGCAAATCTCAGTTTTCTTTAATGCTGTCATTTGAATGCAAATGTGGCCTGTCATTCTTTCTCCTTTACCTACTGTGGAGTTAGAGGGGGGCTTGGTGTCAGGAAGGATTACTTTTATTTTAACATTTAACTTTCTCTGGTGTTTCTCAGTTAGCTCCTTTAAGAGCCTTTCATAACACTTTCTTAGTTGTTACAGTGTCCTTAAGACTAGTTGAGTGATGCAGCCATCTGAAGACTATAGCACAGCCTTACAGATCATGTATCATCCTGAATATTGGTTGTACAACCACTCTCTTTAGCTCATGATCTGCACACTATAGCCATCTGTACAGACCATGCAACCCTTTCAGATACCTGGGTAAGAGAAGAGACAAATCAAAATAAGTTGCCTTTTTCCATCGTGTCTACGAGAGCAAATCCATCTCCTTCCCTACAGAGGCTTTTCGCAGGGAAATGAGTGTCCCAGAGCCTGAGGGGGAAAATGCCTGTTTCAAAYTTAAATTGTGGGATTAAAGTGTTTCGATGTGATTCTTGTGTTTACAGGACAGAGATGAATGCACTGACTCTCCAAGCATTTGTGGTGAGAGAATAAAATGCCTGAATACGCCAGGTAAGTTATATTCTGTTATAAAGAGCAAASATGATTAGATCTTCAGGAGCAGCCTGGAGCAGGATGAGGACTCAGAGCTGTGCATGAGTAATGACATGCTCAGCTTCCTGGAATCAAAGGGTATGAAAAATCCTCATCTGTAAACCGATGGTTGTTCCTGTGGACAGTGAACATTAAGGGCATGATACTTGTATGAGTTTGGATGTTCCCTTTTACTTTATTTTCATTTTTTTTTTTAATGCTTTGGTTTTAATATCCTTTCTTCTTGTATAGGCAAGTGAAACATGCCTAAAGTGGCATCAAAATCAAAGATATTATCCTAATGGAGAAGCATAGCTGTCAATTCTCATCTGCTGCACAGGGCTAGCTATCTGATTTGATCCAAGCAGGTTAAATTTGATCTTCTAAGGCCCTTCTCTGTCAATCTCATTCTCCTTTAGTGATCTTATTGTCAGGTAATAAGGAACAGTAAACAGTGGTCATCATCTGCAGGATAGGGTGGTGGATTTTCCAACATCTAGAAGCAGATATAGCTGGAGCTCTGCACTTCAGGCTTCTCCTTCTTTAGCCATCATGGGAATCAGGCACGGAAGAACAAAGTTAATAAATGTACTGAGCAAATCCTATCCAGATGCTAGAAGGCCAGGTCCTTCTTTCTGAGGGGGGAAAGACTGTTTCCAGCACCTTATGACTGACTACTATTCCTGCCCTACCACTGGATGGGAAAAAAAGTGGGTGGGAATTGATCATAGAAAAGCAATAGAAGAGGACCTGGAWACTTAAGTTGTCTGTGCCTCACCTGAGCAGGAACTTTAAGGAATTAGTACAAAGAGCACAAGGAGCTGGAAATGACCAGAGGAAGAGAGCACCTAGTGTTTTAGATGGCAAATGCCATTGAGGAGGTACCATCAATGTTCTTAAAAAGACTGTTCTTAAAAAGAGCCTTAGCAGRGGTAGTGAGCCATTAGAGGCAAGAAAACTTAGAGAGGCACAAAATTTGAGCCAGTACATTGGAAAGATCTAAAACTATCTCCTTACTAAAAGGCCAAGTATGATGTACTTGACTTGGTGATTTTGTGGGAGGAAATCCATGGGGCCTCATCCCTAGGAAAGGAGAACCACCAATGTGTTAGTCATTTGGTGTTGCTCTAGCTTGTGGCTTAGAAGAGGGGTGGTTGTGAGGAATTTATCCTGAGGGCTTTATGATGGTGGGAAGCCATTCACTGCTGGGGGGAAATGAGATAGGGGAAAATATTGCCCTGAACCAGGCAGATGATTGTGGTCTGTCAGACCACAGAAAGTGAGTAGCGACGGATCTGAAAGGAAAGAAGTCTTCTCCCTCTTYTTTCTCCTCTCCAGATTTTAATGGTGCCCCATAAATATGTGAAAGCAAGCTATCTCCTGTCATCTGGGTCCTGTCATCAATGCCCTGTCAATGGAAGAGAGTCCATATCTTATTTTTTGTTATTAGAGAAGATTGATACTTTTTGCCTGTCCGGTCATGAGAGTTCATTATCTTATACAAGTACAATTAAGTTGTCAAAGGAGAGGCTAAGAYGGAATGTCTGATTTGGGTAATGTAGGGTAGATGGGGATGTGAACTGACATATGAGTTCCAGATGTATGTGGTTTCTTGAGCTGCATGCAAAGAGTGTTGCATCTGTAGCAACCCTCGTTCACTGCACAGCGTGAAGGAGGGCAGAGCGAATAATGGTAAAAAAACAAGTAGCTTGGAGCCTCTCTTTGCTCACTCTTCTACTTTGTATAGTATGTCCTGTTTACCTGCTGCTTTTTCCTCTTGTTATCTGGGATGAGAGCTATTAGGGTGGGTGGTTAAATGGTGTTCACAGAGGAACTGTGACAGATGGGGATACCTGATCAGTGGAGATGGAGGTACCTAATCAGTGGGGATGGAGCACAGTGAATTGTCTCCTTCTTAAATTATTCCAAGAGAGCCCTCAGAGTGTTGTCCCTGGTATGAAACTACCGAGTGGAGTTGACATCTCTCCCCAGGATGCCATGCAAACTGAAGGGGACTTACTCTAGGATTTACTGTGGGGTGCAGAAAGAAGAGAGTTATGAGATTGTGTAGAGCTTGTTATGGGGTGTTTTAAAGGGATTATAGGAGTGTATGAAATTTATCGTGGAGTGTTTAGTGGAAGCTAGTGCTTGCTGCAGTTGGACTATCTGGCAAGTAGGGTAAGAGGTCTGAGTACCAACAAGTGGAGTAGGACCACATATCTTGAGGGCTTATAGGTCCAGATTCCAGCAACTGGAGAAGATGAGGGGGTCCATGTGCCAGATGCTGGAGAGACTATCTAGGACCCACTACTGAGCCACATGTGTATTCCACCAATGTGTGTATTCCACCAATGGACTGCAGTCCTGACCAGCCAGAGAGGAGGAGCAGGATCCAGCCATCTGTCCTGTATATGTTTGTGTGGGTGCTGTTTGAGTTTGTGCAACCAGTAACAGCACTGGGTTCTGTCTGTGTGCACCTGTGTGGCTGGCTGTGCTAGTTCTGTGTGTGAATGTGCACATGTCCATCAGGAGGACTCGCTCAGCTTCCTTACTGGCTGCATGTAGGGATGGGGCAGCTTCACATCTATAGGGCTGACAGAGGAGGAGTTCCCCTGGTTCACGAAGGCGKCCAGGTTTGGTGACCTCTAGCAGATGTGTTCTTGAGGCACCCCTCAAGTCCAGCTTGGATTTGGAGTCCAGCTCTCCAAATAAGTCTGTGCTGGGCAGCCAGGCTTTGTGGTGGCTCCTCTTCAGTTAGGCATTGAATGTTTGTGCTCTGCAGGACAACCCTTGGGGAAGAAAAAAACAGGAAAGGGTAAAATACTGCAAAGGCAAGAAGTGAATAACGAAAACTTCAGCAGATAACTGTGATTTGTAATTAACTGGGATTCTGGGTATGATCTTAATCTTACACAGAGAGTTCAAGACGGTGATGGATTCCCAARCTTAATCTTCATCAGACAGCTATGAATAGCAGCAGCAGCAGCAAAATATATGCATGGCCTCTCTAATTGCCTTGGCAATGGCCCCCGGGAGCTGCGGCGGCTGGTGAGCAGGCTGCACAGTACCTGATTTCACAAAAACAGCTTGAGCACAGCTGGGCTGATCTCCATAAAACCTGCTGTAGCGGTGCCCAGAGCACGGGGCCAAGSTGGGAGAGGTTGTCGGAGGGGTGAGAGAGAGAAACAGAAAGCAGTCACAGCATATTTACTTGCTGGCTGTTTGTTGTTTGGCTGATGTTGCTTCTTGACCTCCTCTGGACTGAAGATAGGATGCTGCTTTTGCCCTGGGGTCCACAGTCTAATGCAGCCCTCGTGCTGCTTTGAAGTGACCCATCTCAAATGCAGGCTGTGGAACACCGTCTGCAGGTGTACCTGAAAAACACTAGAGAATGAATCAAAATGAGTAGTCATCAAAGAGATTTGTAAAATTTGATATTCATCAAAATATTTAAGTATGCATTATTAATGTTTTAAAATAAACATTTTTTCTTTTATTTTTGTTTTGTTGTTGTTGTTATTTGTTTCTCATGARAAAAGAAAGCCAGAGACACGTTTGRGAAGAGTAATGTGTTCAGTTTCTCTTGATATTTTTRCTGGAAAATCCTATTTTTCTGCAGTTAGCTCTTGTGAGAAAAACATACCTGGTCACTGAAAGAATGTTCTCACATCATAATGGATATAGTCTTACATATTGGTGTTAGGGAAGAGTCACTGCTTAAGTGAAGGAAACATAAATAGATGAAGAGATATGAGATATGAGGGTGAGCATGTGACACCTGTATAATATAACACAGTGTCTGGCGTTCTCAGCTGAATAATGCAGTGTCAGAAATGAATTTTAGCCAATGCTCTGGACTCCCTTGTGTACCAGGCGCATGTGCATGGATCTGTCTTGTGTCTCTCAGTATGTGTGCTGTGCTTTTTTGCTTGCACCAACAATCTGCATCGCCTGCTCTGTCCTGATTATGGCAATGCAGAAAACTAGCCTGCTGGGGTCCATGTCCAATGCTTGTATGCCCACTGTCAGAGCAAATCCCAGTCCAAATATAGCAATTTCCACCTGATGAATAAATCAAAAGCATGCATCTAAGGAGCAGCATGGAATTTAGGTTGTAAAGGATATTTCTGAAAGTACTTTAGAAATGTGGTTGTAGAGTTTGCTAATGACTGGCAAAAACACTCAAGCAAGCTCATTTTAGTGATTAATCTTTGAGGCACAACCTGCCAGTGGTTATTCTTTAGAGTGCCTGAGTTGTGTTTACTGATGTGAGCTCCAAGACCCAGTGTGCAAAGGTGCCGGGCACAGGCTTTTCCCGCGGGAGACAGTGGAAGCTGGCAGCGCTCATGGAAAATTGCTGTAGAAAACTGCAGGCTGCTTTTAAAACCTGCTCTTTCAGTGTGCAGTCTTTGATCCACTGAGGTCATGGTGTGCCATTCAGCAGCACAAAATTGCCTTATTTCCAATAAAGTAATTTTCAGATAGCACCTCCAGATATTCCTATGATGTTTGCTGCAGTGTTTTATTTATTCCTTACAGGTTTAGACTGTCACATACACTGCTGTCCTCTGCCTTAGGGCAAGGGTTTTCAGTTTTAAATGTGTGGACTTCTGCATTAGTGGATTTAAGCCTGCTGATTCCAATTTTGCTTTTCCTGCTTGTCTCTTGTAGGCTTTTAAAAACCAATATACTGAGTGGATGCYGGAGGCCTGGGATCCTCTGGCTGCAAAGTGCTGTGTTAGCAATCACAGCTCCAGCAGTGCCACCCCGCTGTCATGGCTGGGTGGATGGGGGACATTTCCCCCATTAGCTGGAAACATCTTTGCTGCTCAGCGCAGCAGTCAGTCACTGTGCCTTTCACCTAAGGGAAGGGAGAGAGAGTCTTTACTGAACCTTCCCCTTCACAGGGGTGGGACAGAGTTGTCCCTGTGCYTCTGTGCAGCCTCGTCTTGCTCCTTTCCCTCTTTAAACCACTGAGTTCAGCTTGGACACAGTGAGGTACCCCTAGCTGTTCACCTGTGTGAAACCAAGGGTCCTCTAACAGTGCAAGGTATCTAACTTAATAGTTTCAGTTTTCTCCCTTATGATTAGGTGTGTTATCAAAGATACTTGATTTGTAGAACTGTAGAGTTCTTCTAATACTTGGTGTTTTTAAAAGTATAACAACTAAAACTTCCATTTCCTGTGAACAGGTGGTTTCCGATGCCTTGGGATTGCTGAAAAAGACGCAGCTTTSGGACTGTGTGGAGAGGAATATTTCTTTAATAAGGAAATGCAGGAATGTCAGGCCTGTTTAAAATGTGAAGAAGGGATGGTGGCCGTGCCTTGTTCCACCATCAGCGATACGATTTGCTCAGCAACCAGTGAAAACAAGTTTTCGGAGGCTTGGGCTGCGAACATCATTTTACCTCCTGCAAAGTCTGGCATCTCTCAGGTCTACTCTGGYTTAAACTTGAAGATAAAGGGGAAGTTTCACTGTGAAATCCTATCAGTTGAAGATAACAGTTTGGTGTTCAGGCAGCATGGCCTGTTGTGGACTGACCTAAATTTTGCAGTAAAGCACAACTGCAGGAATTTTTTGCAACTTTCCTTAAAGCTAAATGGCAGTGAGGAAGGTTATGAACTGAGCGGAGTTCGCATTGAGCAACCAGAGGGAAAATATTTCCAGAGCACGAGTCTAAGCAGTGCTGCTGAAGTGGAGCCCAGCCAAACACTTTCTGTGTTTTTGAGGAGTCCAAATCAATTCTGCAATCAAAGCAGAGACTTATATATTTATGATCTTAATACCCCACTCAGTTTGTTTTGGTTGTCCCATGACACAGGTGCTGTGGCAATCAGTGCCCAGATGTCAACAGCAATGCATTACCAAACCAACTATCGACCTACCTTTAAAATAATTTCTGTTTCTGACCCTTACATGCTAAGTTTATCTCAYGATGGCAGAGCTATAAAGTTCACTGAAACTGGTGTCATAAAATTTGTGTTCCAGCAAGCGTTGTATTCCATGGGTCATACCTGTGTCCGGGAAGGCTTCTCTTTAATTTCTTATATCAATAGGAATGGTACTAACAGAGAATTAATGAATGTGTTTAAATCAGGGGTAAATTACAGAGACACATCTATATCAGCTTCTGGAGCCACAAAAGTTGGTGCTGGAGATATGGTTAGCTTTGAGATACTTTCTCCTGCGCAGTGTAATGTTCGCTATTTTGGAGACAGTTCTGGGATTAGTATGTTTAGCCTCATCTGGATCCCTTCAGCAGTCTCTACTGCTTTGTCAGCCAGAGTTTCTGTTTCAGGTCTGCCTACTGGAGCTGTGAGAAACAAATTACTGGATTTCACTCAGGTCTCGTCCAGTGAGAAACAGATACAGCTGGTTTCTTCAGGACAGTTTGCTCAGAAATATTTCATTTTTACCGAAAAGGGAATTGCCAGCATTGCCTTTAACTTAAAGCTGATCCATTCATGCAATGTGCTCAAAATGACTCTTAATCAGTTGAACATGGGTCACATGCAGCCCACAGCAATTGCTCAGCAGATTGGTGGTCCGATGCCGGAGGGAAGCATATGGACCAGTGTATCTCTCCGTGCCTCCTTTGAAGTCCACAATGGAACACTGATATCAATTTCTCTTGACTGTGTGCGTGGAAGGATCAACCAGATCGCTCATGAACATGGAACCAGTATATCTATTTTATGGATTTCATCTTAATTTCTGTGTGGTGAAGTTGGCACAGAGCTGGGGTTTGYTTTGGATATGGATGCCACTACAAATGCCTGACACCCTACAATATGTGGAAATGTACGGAATGTCCCAATAAAATACTCAGCATCCCAGASTATGTTATACACACACAAGTAAGTGAAATGGGCATTAATGCATTCGTGACTGGTGAGCATCAACCTTGCTGAAAGCAGSAATACTATGCACAATGTAACAGTAATGTAGGGGCTGTTCTGAGCATGTGCTCAAATATGTGTACTTTCCWATGCCTATTTTGGAGTTTGTCTCACTGCTTTTGCTGTAGTTTTCCCCTACAGTTTTCTGGAAAAGGATGAATCCAAATATGAGATCTTCTAGTTGATGGCTCTGTTTTTATTTACAACTTTGTAATCTTGTACTTGACACCTGTAGTTTTCCTTCTCTTATCCTTTTTGTTTCAAATTTATACTCACTATATATTTGCAGATACAGGTTAAGTTGCTCTCTGCTRCAAACTAGGAACACTGATATTCTAWCAATATTCTGCAAATTCTRACAGCCCATTGCAGGGTTCTTCACTTAGATGTTGTACTGARGCCAGCATAACCATGCAGACCACAACAGATTAAACCAGGCTTCAATGAGGTCAACGACATAGGTTCCAAGTGACTTTAACTAGACAGGGTTGTTCATTCTAACTAGGACATAAGGCAGGATGGATTAAAGCTAATATTGAAAGTGGTTGACATTTACAAAATACTGTTATCATTACAGAGGATTATATTTGGTGCTGAGAAAGGGAGTCTTCTGGAATTAGAGTGTGTGTATCTGTTATATACGGTGCATTAGCTAGGAGCAAAGCAGTTTTTCTGTCTCCTTCATCCCAGAATTCTACTAAGAAGAAAAAATGCCACAGGAGTTGATGTTTTCTGAAATACCCRTCTCCTTAATAAGATGAGCTGATCACATCCTTACTAGATTTTTCTGAGGTCATCATGTTTTCCCTAGCAGAGTCTACCATGCAAACAGGTGCTTTTGCTAGGAGGRGATCAAAGAGCCTCATCCTTATGGAAGCTGCTAGCTCTTTTCTTGGCAAGGATGTGTGAGACAMAGGAGGAGCTCTTCAGAGAGCAGACTGGGGTATTTCTAGGGTAAGACTTTAGCAGGATATAATGTTAAAGAAGACTTGAAATAATATGCTTGTGATTTTGGTTTGGAGGAAGCTGCAGATATTAGAATCTGACATTAGGCATACTCTGATATATCTTTAGCAAAGTGTAGATATTGGATATAAAATATGCATTTGCCAACTTATAGGATAGCATATGGCAAATCTTATGGCATGATTTCTMTGAGTGTATTATATCTGAGTGAGTTTGGAAGTAGTATCTGGGTAGTGTCAATGGAATTGCTTGAATAGGAAAGAGATTGASTTTTTATGGTGCTCAGATCCTGTATCCTGACTATGTTGATACTTAAACACACTGTTACTGAAGGCAGGTACAAGTAAACATATTACAGCTAGCAGAGATTTCAGAGTATGAATTCTTCAATGTAGTAAAGCTTTCTGAGGACCCTTAGGGGAGTGCCAGTTGTCTTTAAATTCAAGGTAGATTTGAGATGCACAGTGGCAGAAATGCAGCATTTTGCACCAATCTGATGGTGCTAATGCATCTAATGTTGTTTTGCTTATGTCATTTGTGAGGAGCTTAGATGGTGAAAATGTTTTTTTTTTTTCTAAATAATCCTGTGAAATCTCTAGTATTAATTACTACATATGTACATATGCCCTGTACATATAACCATATGCCAAAGAAAAAAGATTAGTTGGACCTTTTTTTCCATCTTTCAGTTTAAAAAAAAAAAAGCCTGAAGCCATAGGTTAGTCTGTTTGCTGATCCTGGTTATAGTAATTTGGAACAAGTATGTTGTAAGCAGTTCATGCTGTTTTAGCTAAGTGTAGTCTAGCCTTTAGATCTATGAAAAGGATGTATATTACCTGATATCATGCAACATAAGTGGTGCACTATTATCCTAAATGAGATAAAATTTGAAAGGAATCAGACTTAAAGTATATGAATGCTAATTTATGGCACTTCATTTGCTGTAACTAACTGCATGTTTTATTCTTGACATATATCATTTTGTAGTTACAATTCTTCAACTTTTTTATTCATGTTTTCATATGGTTTCGTTCTAATTGCAGCACAATATAATGCTGTGAAGTAGAGAATTCATTTAAAAACTCCTTCTATTTTGCATCTTTTGAGACTTTGTTCTTGAATATAGGCAAAATATCTGGAGATATTCTCTCCAGTCCTTCCACAGAGTGTTTTCAGTGAGGGTATTCATGAAGTTAGGTCGTGCAGAGTATGTCTGAGGCTTGCAGAATCTAGCCATGCAGAAAGAGTTAAGAGTTATACCTCAGGCAAGGCATGAAGTTATTCTACCTGTGTTGTGCACATGCAACAGGTTGTTTCAGAACAAAATTCAGAACAAAGAGAAGAAAAATTGCAGAAGGAAAATCATTTTGGCCTACTCATATAAGAGGAAAAGTATTTGGTTTAAAAAATCTTCATCAGTTTGTTGTAAAACATGTTGCAAGTTCGAAGATTCTACCTGAATTTATATACTATTGTCAATAAAAGTTTTATATATTTACTATAAAGTAAATATTGGTATTGATCAGACTATGTTAAATAGACTTTAATTTAATACTGTGGTTTCTGCTGCAGTTTATGCAGATTACATTGTGATAGTTAACTAGTTTAAAAGGGTGTTTTTTAATCAACTTTTCTACTTCCAAATATTGCCTTGTTTAAAAATACTATTTAGACATTTGTGTGTGTTAATATTTTATCCTAATCTTTTAGCGAATTTTGCTGAAATAAAAAAAAAGAGAAGACTTCATTGGTGTATATGTTCTGTTCCGAAGAAGGCTTATTGAAGTCAATGGAAATTTTTCCACTGACTTTGAATGTTGGAAACCTTTTGAAGTTATTTCAAATTATATAATTGTTTCTTGATTTCAAAGTTGTAATTGGTTATTAGAGCTGAGGGAAAGATAGGTGATAAATTTGTTTTTTATTTTGAAATATATTTTAAAAGAAAATCCTCTTCAAACATTTTGGGACTGGATTGGTATTTCTCTCAGCCTCTTAAGTTAAAAGTAAAAAAGCAAAGTTTTATATGGCGTGTTTTCATCAGCAGTATTACACTGATTTGAAGGATTCAAACAGTTCCTCTACCACGAGGATTACAGAAATTATTTGCTTAGTCTAGATTAGCCTAGGATGAAGTTCAGAGGAAGGAGGAAAGCAGCATTTGTGAAATACTGGTAAAAGAGAATCATCCTCTTTGAACCTGCATCCAACATGGCCCATTTTATTCAGACTTTCAGCTGTTGATCTGATTTATGCCCTTTCCACAGCAGCCAAAACCATCTTGATGTTTGAGCCAAGTGCACTCTGTCTCTCCCAGAGTCACAGTCCATTCCCCTTTGGGGGCTCCCATTCGCTTCTGCAGCCTCCCTTTGTGCCAGAGAGCATCTCTGTGCTCAGGCCTGGCACCTCTTCTCTGCCTGGAGAGTCTGGCTTAAAATAAGACTCAGGAGATATTAACTGCAGCCATGGAAAGTGCCCATGTTGCTGTGCCAGTGCTGACTGAACTAGGCAGTGAGCTGACTTTAAAATGGCTATGCTGTCCCTAGGCTGTCCCTAGGCTGGGCTTCAGCATCTCAGTGTCTGCTCAGGAGCTCTCTCTCTCCAACACTCTCATTCATGCACATCTAATGACTACAAAGAGGGATTCGGGAAACTCCTGTTTGCATTAAATAATGGAGCTGGTATTGCTGAACCACGGATTCTTGACCAGCTGCAGTTTGTGTAGCTTTTTCAGTCCTTCCGTGGAATTTTGTAGTCATGTTGTGACTTGCAAAATTGTGTCTTCTGTCTGTAGGGTTTTTTTAGAAGAGAAGCTGCTCCCTTTCTCTGTCTAGTGCAATCCTGTTAAATGCTATCTCTTGAAAGTGGCCTTAAATGTCTGGATGTAATTTTCTCCCCAGACAGGTGCCTGCTATCAAAGGAAGTTCAA